TGAGGCAGAAAAGTTTGGGGTTCTGGTTCTTCTCCAAGGGGGAAAGTTTGGGGTTCTTGATTTCCCCTGAGGGGGAAAAGGTTTATGTTTGAGGGGGAGGAAAAATTTGGGGTTCTTATTCTTCCCCATGTGGGAAAGTTTGGATTTGAGGGGGAGGAAAAGTTTGGGGTTCTTGTTTTTCCATGGGGGGGAAAGGTTTAGGTTTGAGGGGGAGGAAAAGTTTGGGGTTCTGGTTCTTCCCTGAAGGGGAAAGTTTGGGGTTCTCTTTCTTCCCTGAGGGGGAAGGTTTGGGGTTCTGGTTCTTCTCCAAGGGGGAAAGTTTGGGGTTCTCGTTATTCCCTGAGGGGGAAAAGTTGGGTTTCAGGAAGAAAAGTGTGGGGTTCTCGTTCTTCCCCAAGGGGGAAAGTTTGGGTTCTGGTTCTTCTCCAAGGGGGAAAGTTTGGGGTTCTTGATTTCCCCTGAGGGGGAAAAGGTTTATGTTTGAGGGGGAGGAAAAATTTGGGGTTCTTATTCTTCCCTGAGGGGGAAAGTTTGGGTTTGAGGGGGAAATGTTTGGGGTTCTTGTTCTTCCCTGAGGGGGAAGTTTGGGGTTCTGGTTCTTCTCCAAGGGGGAAAGTTTGGGTTTGAGGTGGAAAAGTTTGGGGTTCTTGTTTTCCCCTGAGGGGGAAAAGGTTTAGGTTTGAGGTGGAGGAAAAATTTGGGGTTCTTATTCTTCCCTGAGGGGGGAAAATTTGGATTTGAGGGGAAAAAAAGATTGGATTTGAAGGAGGGAAAAGTTTGGATTTAAGGGGGAAGAGTTTGGGTTTGAGGGGGGGGAAATGTTTGGGGTTCTTGTTCTTCCCTGAGGAGTGGAAAACTTTGGATTTGAAGGGGGAAAACTTTGGATTCATTGTGAATTTTTCCCTGTGAGGGTGAAAAGTTTGGATTTAAGGGTGGAAAAGTTTGGATTTAAGGGGTGGAAAAGTTTTTTTAATCCCAGCACTGGTGGGCATGGGGAAATTAAACAGATTCCTCTTTAATTTCCCTTCAAGCAACAAAAATTTGGTTGCAAACCCTTGAATTAAAATTCCAAAATCCAATTCCATGTTTTGTGTGGATTCTGAGTAATTCCTCCATTTGTCCATGTGGGAGTTGGAGCTGTTCCTATCCCAGAATATCCACATTTGGATAATTATTCCTCTTTCTTTCCCTCTTTCCCAGGTTTTTGCATGATAAGAACAGCAGGGAATTCCTTTACTACAGGAAGAAAGTGGCAGAAATAAGGAAAGAAAATCAAAATTCCCAGGCAGCCTCTTCCCAAAAAGGTAATTCCCACTAAAATCTGGGAAATGGGAACAGCACGAGGGAAATTTGGGATTTATTTAGGACTGGAGTGGAAATTTGGGATTGGATTAGCTGCCCTTTTCCAGGTGAGATTTGGGATTTTTCCAAAGGGAATTTCCCCCTGAAACAGCCTGCAGTGAGGGGAGGAGAAGTGGGATTCTCGGGAATTTGGAGTTTTCCAAAGGATTTCCTCTTATTCCTGAGGAATTCAGGGGTAAAATCTGAAATCAGGGATAACTCCAGGTGCTGGAATCCTATGGAAAAGCGCCTGAGACAGGAAAAAAAACCTCAAAATTTGTAATTAGGGATAATTCCAGGTGGTTTAATTATAGGGAAAAGTGTCTGAGACAGGGAAAATTTGGGATTTGGGAGCCCAAAGCTGCTTTATCTCTCATCTCTCCCACCCCTGCTCCCAAACTCAGGTTTAAACCAAAGTTTTTGTGTTGTTAAACTGGTTTTGTATCAATTCTCCCCCTTTAAACCCAGCTTTAGGCCTCACTGGGGTCCTTAGACCCCATATCTGACCCCAAATTGGGTTTTAAACCAAATCTTGTATATTTTGAACTGTTTCTGTATCAATTCTTCCCCTTTAAATCTGACTTTAGACCTAATTGAGATCCTTATGCCCCATCTTTGATCCCAGACTGGGTTTTAAACCAAATCTTGTATATTTTGAACTATTTCTGTACCAATTCTTCCCTTTTAAATCTGACTTTTAAGCCTCCCTGGGGTCCTTAGGCTGGGTTAGGCCCCCTCCCTCCTCCCCAGACTCCCATCTAAACGGAACTTTTTGTGTTTTGAACTGTTTCTGTACCACTTCTCCCCCTTGAAGCCCGGCTCGAGGCCTCCCGGGGGCGCTTGGGCCGGGCTTGGCTGGGCGGGGCTGAGGCGGGCCCAGGACTAATCCCTGCCCAAAGTTTCCCCCCCAGCCGAGCTGGAGACGCGGCGCTCGGCCGAGAAACTGGCGCAGATGGTGGCGGCGGGGGGGCCCGAGGTGGAGGCCATCGCCCTGCAGAACAACAGGGAGAACCCCGCCTTCAGGTAGGGAACAGTTCCCGGCTCCTGGGGGGATTTTCCTGGGAATAATTCCCAGGGAATTCCCAGGGAAAAGCGTGGGAATACTGGGGTTGAGGTTTTGGGGCAGTGAGAGTTGGGGGGCTCAGGTTTGGGGTGCAGAGAGGGATGAGGTGGGAGCAGAACGACAGGGAGATCCCCGCCTTCAGGTAGGGAACAATTCCCGGCTCCTGGGGGGGATTTTCCTGGGAATTCCCAGGGAATAATTCCCTGGGAAAAGCGTGGGAATACTGGGGTTGAGGTTTTAGGGTGGTGAGAGTTGTGGGGCTCAGGTTTGGGGTGCAGAGGGGGATGAGAACGACAGGGAGAACCCCACCCTCAGGTAGGGAACAATTCCCAGCTCCTGGGGGGGATTTTCCTGGGAATTCACAGGGAATAATTCCCAGGGAAAAGCGTGGGAATACTGGGGTTGAGGTTTTGGGGCAGTGAGAGTTGGGGGGCTCAGGTTTGGGGTGCAGAGAGGGATGAGGTGGGAGCAGAACGACAGGGAGATCCCCGCCTTCAGGTAGGGAACAATTCCCGGCTCCTGGGGGGGATTTTCCTGGGAATTCCCAGGGAATAATTCCCAGGGAAAAGCGTGGGAATTCAGAGTTTATTGGGACACAGTGGCAGGAGTTTGGGGGGTTCAGGTTTGGGGTGCAGAGGGGGATGAGAACAGCAGGGCAGTCCCCGCCTTCAGGTAGGGAACAATTCCCGGCTCCTGGGGGGATTTTCCTGGGAATAATTCCCAGGGAATTCCCAGGGAAAAGTGTGGGAATACTGGGGTTGAGGTTTTGGGGCGGTGAGAGTTGAGTGGCTCAGGTTTGGGGTGCAGAGGGGGATGAGAACAGCAGGGCAGTCCCTGCCTTCAGGTAGGGAACAATTCCCAGCTCCTGGGGGGATTTTCCTGGGAATTCACAGGGAATTCACAGGGAAAAGTGTGGGAATTCAGTGTTTATTGGGACACAGTGGCAGGAGTTTGGGGGGCTCAGGTTTGGGGTGCAGAGGGGGATGAGAACGACAGGGAGAACCCCACCCTCAGGTAGGGAACAGTTCCCGGCTCCTGGGGGGGATTTTCCTGGGAAGAATTCCCAGGGAATTCACAAGGAAAAGCGTGGGAATACTGGGGTTGAGGTTTTGGGGTGAGAGTTGTGGGGCTCAGGTTTGGGGTGCAGAGAGGGATGAGAACAGCAGGGCAGTCCCTGCCTTCAGGTAGGGAACAATTCCCGGCTCCTGGGGGGATTTTCCTGGGAATTCCCTGGGAATTCCCAGGGAAAAGCGTGGGAATTCAGAGTTTATTGGGACACAGTGCCAGGAGTTGGGGGGTTCAGGTTTGGGGTGCAGAGGGGGATGAGGTGGGAGCAGGGAGAACACTGCACATTCCTCATTCCTGGGGTTCTTTTCCAAGAAATTCCCTGGGAATTCCCAGAGGAAAATGTGGGAATTCTGAGTTTCCAAGGATAGTGTGGTTTTAGCGAGGTGAGAGTTGGGGGGGCTGAGAACAGCAGGGAGATCCCAGGGAAAATTCCGGATTCTTGGGGCTGCTTTTCCTTCCTGGAATTGTGGGAATCGCATTCCCTGCTCCCAGGGGAAGCTGCACTGGCTGCAGGAACACACGGGATGGTGCTGGAGAGCTGGGAATGCTCTGGGAATGCTCTGGGAATTGCAGGGAGGAAAAATCCAGTGCTGGATCCCAGCCCTGGAGAGCTTGGAATGCCCTGGGAATGTTCCCAGCGTTCCTGGAGGGAGAATAAAACCCTTGCTGCTCCCAAGCCTGGAGAGCTGGGAATTGCAGGAAGGAAAATTCCCGAGAAAACCGCGCTGGATCCCAGCCTTGGAGAGTTGGGAATGCTCTGGGTGTTCCAGGAAGGAAAATTCCAGTGCTGGATCCGAGCTCTGGAGAGCTGGGAATGCTCTGGGAATTCCAGGAAGGAAAATTCCTGAGGAAACTGTGCCGGATCCCAGCTCTGAGTGGAGCCGGGAATGATCTGGGAATGCTCTGGGCATTCCAAGCAGGAATTCCACGGCTGGATCCCAGCTCTGAGTGGGGCTGGAGAGCTGGGAATGCTCTGGGAATGTTCTGGGAATGTTCTGGGAAGGCTCTGGGAATGTTCTGGGAATGTTCTGGGAAGGCTCTGGGAAGGCTCTGGGAATGTTCTGGGAATGTTCTGGGAATGCTCTGGGAATGCTCTGGGAATGTTCTGGGAATGCAGCGAAGAAGACTGAGGATGCTCTGGGGATGCCATGGGAATTCCCTGGGGATGCCGTGGGAATGCTGTGGGAATTCCCTGGGGATGCTGTGGGAATTCCCTGGGGATGCTGTGGGAATTCCCTGGGGATGCTGTGGGAATTCCCTGGGGATGCCATGGGAATTCCCTGGGGATACCATGGAATGCCATGGGAATTCCCTGGGGATGCTGTGGGAATTCCCTGGGGATGCCGTGGGAATTCCCTGGGGATGCCATGGGAATTCCCTGGGGATGCTGTGGGAATTCCCTGGGAATGCTGTGGGAATTCCCTGGGGATGCTGTGGGAATTCCCTGGGAATGCTGTGGGAATTCCGGACGCTCCCGCTCCGGCAGGTTCCTGTACGAGCCGCACAGCAAAGGGCACCGCTACTACCGCCAGAAGCTGCAGGAGCTGCGCAGGGCCCGCGCCGGGGGCTCCCCTTTTCCCGGGAATTCCCCTTTTCCTGGAAATTCTCCTTTTCCCAGCAATTCCCCTTTTCCCAGCAATTCCCCTTTTCCCGGGAATTCCCCTTTTCCCGGAGAATCCGGCCTCAAACCCGGTCCCGAGGCTTCTCCCT